AAAACTTTTTGGTCGGTCGGTCCCAGACTGTTCGTCTTGGTGGCCAGCACTCGGCAGAGGTGACGGTTACGAGCGGAGTACCTCAGGGCTCCGTTCTTGGCCCTATCCTCTTCCTCATCTATATTGATGACTGTATCCATGGTTTGGACTGCGACATTGCCATGTTTGCTGACGATGTAAAGCTTTGGACCGTCATCCGCAACGAGGACGATGAAGCAAATTTACAGGCAAACATAGACCGACTCGAAAAATGGTCAGGCCACTGGCTCCTCCCATCTAATGTTAGCAAATGCAACATTCTGTGAATTGGCAGAACCAGCTCTGCGCACCGTAAGTACTATCTGAATCACACACCGCTGCCATTGGTAGAGGTTCAGAAAGACCTAGGGGTGTGGATAACATCTTCACTAAAGCCATTATTCCACTGCTTGAAAGCAGCGAAATCCGAAATGTCCAGCTTATTTCTCATTAGGCGGGCACTTGCCAAGTTCGACGATGAGTGCTTTCGCAAGGTCTTCGGGATGTTTGTGCGCCCACAGTTAAAATTTTCCATTCATGGCTGGAGACCCTGGTTTGTCAAAGATCGCACCACCATCGAAAAAGTCCAACGACGGGCAACCTACCTTACGAAACTAGACTCTCAAATCTTAACCTCTTTCCCCTGGACTACAGACAACTCCGTGTCGACTTAATTCAAACTTTTAGAATGTGACGGGGTCAGAACTGCTACCTCGCATCCGGCGACTTCTTTGAGCTGGCCACCACTACTAGCTTGAGAGGACACCCTCTGAAACTACGTGTGACAGGAGTGAGACTGGACGCAGGAGGTCCTTCTTCAGCCCCAGAGTGGTAAAGGCATGGAACGCCCTGCCTGTGGAAGTCGTCATGTCCTCACCCGTGGACTCATTTAAGAGAAAGCTTGACCAGTACAGGGATATGTACCTCCACAGCATCAGAAACTAACGAATTCCCCCCCTGTGCCACCCGCCACATCCAACTTTTTATGTTACAAAGCATGCTACTCCCTATATTTTAGTAACATTACGTTTTACAATTTTCGCTATCTCCTGACCGCCACATATGCGCTTGCTTTGATATTACTTGGTCCATTAAGTACCGTACAATTTTGACATAGAAGGCATTTACAGACAAATTCATACCAGTGACCAATGCCTGTTGTATGTAATTACTTACCTAATTATTTTCACACTTGCCTTACACATTGTTTTTTATGACGTTATTGTAACCAAAAGGGAGTTCAAAGGCGCTCGCCTACCTTTCCCTTAATAAATCTAATCTGATCTGAAACGGGTATGTTCATAGATTTCCCCGAAGACTGACTTCCGATTCGGAAGAGGATGACGAAATAGAGGAGATACGGAAGCACACAGACCGACGGCTAGGCCCGTGGCCCGTACCTCCGGCTGTACTCCGGTAGGTCTCATTGGCTTATTCGAACTTCAGGCCCACAAACGATAATGTTTCTGGTACCTCCTATTCTCAACGAAGAGAAGGAGAAAAAACTAGTTATCAGTAATCGTGCCTTATCACATTGTCGCTTTAGGTTGCCCGACGGGGAGAACGTAGCGCCTGAAATACGAAACCTGCTGAAAGAAATCAAACAAGAGTTGGCATGTCTAAGGTAAACCGATTAAAACCCTTTACTATTATATAGGAAAAAATTGGAATTCAATGCAGAGGAAATGGTCTGGGTGAAGACCAATATACAAGATATCAAAGCCACTCAAGCCGACAACCGTCGAGCGTTACAAGCAGTTAGCTTTGTTTCGAAAGAGAAGCCTCCCCTTCTACAGCTGCCTTTGCGGACTGCCAAAGCGTATAAAGACTTACGAAAATCGGATTGGACAATGAGCTAGCGCAGGAAACGGTATGTAAACAAGCTTAGACACTCTATACTGCTTATAGGTAAAGCATTTGTCCACCGTTGGAGGACGGACTGAAAAGGAGTTCATATGTAATCTCCTGACAGCCCTTCTAGGACCTCCCCTCTGCCAAAGTTTCTGTTGGGCAGGTTCCAACGACAAGAAGTCTTTCGTAGGGAGCCCTCTGTTCAGTGTCCTAAGTGGTCTGTTTATTATGTTTTTTTAACACCTGCAGATGCAATACGCTGCAATGAACAGTACCGTAGCTGCCATTCCGAAGTAATTCGGCAAACAGCTATTGAATGGTTCCACGGAACCCGAGACCGATACGGAGGGCGAGCAAAACGGCGCCGAACTGCTGATATGGTACATATTTTTCTAACAAGTTATTATAACACATTGAATTAGGGTTCCCTTGAAAATTCAGCGAGCAGCTTTGAACTTTCGCAAACAATATCGGAGGACACAGTGAGTAACTTAATATTTCCTAAGTAGCCGGCTGTGCTATGACTTTCAGTATAATTTTTACTTACCTCTATTTAATATTAGTAATATTTAACATTAATTATTCAACCTGTCTGCATAATTTTCTTATGCTCAGTAAATTAAATTTTTAATTTTTGCATTAACACATACATCTAATTACCGGATACTTCTTTCTGATATACTTTCAAATTAATTAATACTGATTTCAATTTTTTTCATTATTTTGTAGCGTTATTTTTGATGGCTAACTATTCCTTTAGTCCCCTCTAAATGTTTTTATAAAGTATTTCTGGCATAATTATTTATCCGGCATTTTTTTCCACTCCATAAATTATTTAACTGAAATTTTCATTTAAGTTGCCCTAAGTAAATTTCAAGTTACTTAGGGCAACTTAAATGTTACACCACGCATGCCGTTTAGTAAAACAAAATTAGTACTTAATTTACTAATATAAATAATTGTTTACTTATTAATGTTTTTTTTATAGGAGCCTGCCGTGGATGAAAACTTCCGGCAACACAACGATGCCGTGTAATTGATTAACCAGAACAAATTCCTATCCCATATGTCCCTTGTACATATTACTCCGTTTTTTTTAAATTTTATATGTTTAATAAACTATCATATGCCAAAATTTGCTGTCCATTGTCTTTGTTTATGTAGACCTCGGGACATGTTCGAGTTTTCGGCGTTATCATTATATTTAGAGGGTGGGCAATACTTAACAAAGGTAAGGGTTATGGGTGTTCATCGATCAGAAGTTAGAATAGCAGAACCTACTGTGCGGGGAACTAGAAAAGGGATAATACTGGTAACGTAAATGAGGGGTTAATATCACGGAGAGCGTGGCGTCCCCCTGCGCGTTTTTTTCGAGGACGGGGCCAGACGGGGCTGGGCCCCGCCTAGCCCCCGGGGCCAGACGGGGCTATCGCGTCCCTAGCCCCGTCGTAGCCCCGCCGAGCCTGAGGTCCGAACACCATGCTATAAGGACATCCAGGGTTGTGATCCGGAAATCGTACTGGTGGGGTGGGAGGCCGGTCTCTTAGGCGAGAAAAAGACTAGCCAAAGCGAACTCAGAGAAAAAAGAAACATTCCAAGAAAACAACACGCACCTCTGTACGGTCCAAAAAAACGAAGGCCGCTTACATACACGCAGACCAGCTGAGGAAGACGGCCAGGAGGTCTGCCAAGGACCGCCGGCGGCTCCCAACTATGTTGAACAATAAAGGCTGGCTTCGACGCCTAAAGTTCCACTTAGACGACGTCCCACAAGACGAACGCAGTCGTACGGTACTACATCTAGCAGACGACCAAATGGGCAAGGCACTGGATGCCGGACTCACTCGCCACACCCCTTTCCGCAGACAACAGAACAACACCTCCTGGCCCAGACCACACTACCAGCCTTCACAGCGATTTAACCGCGGCAACCGACCCTCCACGTTCTGCACGCCCTATCGACCCCCGCCGCTTAACGCTGAACCAAGACAATTCCGGGGAGATAGAGAGAGTACCGAGGCAGCGATTATCAAGGAAGGTAACCACATTATTCCTGTCTGCTTTGATTACACGTAACATAGTTTACGGTTTTACCCGACGATTTACCTAGACAACAAACCCATTAAGGCTCTAGTCGACACACGTGCCACTACGTCGTTGGTTTGGGCAGATGTATTAGACGCGTTTGTACGGTGTAGCTCCATTCGGGCGATTTTGTCAATATCAGTGAGGAATTGATGGACGTCAATGTTATTTCTATCGAAGATAGCACGTAGGTAAAGTGCACCGTCGTCTGGTGACGGGTGATGTACAAGACGCTAAGTGGCTTAACCTTGCCAGGCAAAGCGGTCACTCACCACATCTCAAAACAGCAGACGAGTCACCCAAGACCACGTTAGGGACGGTTCGACTGCCCATCTCCTTTCCAGCCAGCGTTAAGGAACAAGTTTTTGTCGTCACACACAAGATGTCGTGGGACATGATACTCGGACTAGATTTCCTTTCTGCACATCACTGTTGTATTGTGGTCAAAGACCTCATACTATCCTTGGGACATAATGCATTGCCTAGTCACCCAACAGCCGCCGAGTTTGACGAAGAAGCCACCTGCGCGGCCATCGCAGCGTCGGCAGCCTTACCACCCACAAGTATAGACACGGTCTTACCCCCAGACGATACAGTCGCTGTAACCAAAAAGGAAGAATTGAAGTCACTCCTGACTACGTTTGGCGATGTTTTCGCATGGGACGATACCTCCTTAGGTCGCACCGCTGTCATCCGTCACAGCATTGACACAGGCGCGTCGAAACCGCTGTGGCAACCACCACGCCGAATTCCACCACACTTTCAAAAAGGGATGAGTGATCTAATTCAAATAATGCTGACCACGGGGATAATCCGCCCCTCCAAGTCGCCCTGGGCATCACCAGCCACATTAGTGCCAAAAAAGACGGCAAACTCCGGTTTCATGTAGACTACCGACGACTTAACGCAGTCACCAGTCGCGATTCCTTTCCACTTCCACGAATTGATGTCACCCTCGGGACGCTAGCCCGAGCTCAATGGTTCTCAACGTTTGACCTCGAGTCGGGTTATTGGCAAGTAGAGGTTGAACCTAAAGACCGCCCAGCAGCTGCGTTTATACTACCACAAGGGCTCTTCGAATTCGAAACCATGCCGTTCGGGCTATGCAACGCAGCCGCAACCTTCCAACGACTGATGCAGTCCGTCCTGGTCCACGTATACCCTCACAGCTGTTTGATATACCTCGACCACGTGATCGTGTTTGAACACACGGCCAGCAGTCCTCTCCTTTATGGGTGATGTCAGCCTACGTTTAAACCCACAGAAATGCAAGTTTCTGCGCCGCACGGCCCGGCAACATCACGCAAACCTCGCCGTAGTCCTCTCCGCTCTGCGCCATGCCGGCCTACGTCTAAACCCACAAAAATGCAAGTTTCTGTGCCGGAAAGTCACATTCCTTGGTCACTAAGTCAGCCCACAAGGCGCACAGGAGAAAGTAAAGGCTGTCAGATCAAGGACCACGTCGAAGACTCCAACAGAAGTCAGAGGCGTTCTCGGCCTAGTACGAGCGGTAGAATCGATTCATCCATCAGAGCCACAGAGTTCTATTCACAGTCTTCTCTGTCAAGCTCTTCTTCCAAGGTTGTCAACATATGAGTCAAGAAAGCAGACAGCGTAAGAGCATCTGGTCCATCATCACCAGCGCCTAGTTTCAGAGCGTTACGTCATTTAGGGAAACACACTTCCGTAGAAAATAAAAAAAGTAACCGACAGAGAAAAATGTCTTATTATTCAGGGGCTCCCTAAACCAAGTGCAAATACTCCCAAGGAGCGGGTTTCGGAAGACCTATCACCCTTTCAAGGTCTTCTCAATAATATTTTGGAACGCACAGAGGCTACTGAAGTGAGTAAAGCCTTCCGCCTTGGAGAACGTGCAGATAATCCATTCAGTGTCGATTCGTCCCTGGCCTCTTAAACTTGTGCTAGCCAGCAGCGAACAAGCCGGTCTCATTCACCCCAGGCGATTTAGGATTTAAGGCTCCAAACCCAGGTGTTTTTTTCAAACGGATTACTCGTCAGCGGAACGGCTGAAACGTCGTCAACCAGTTCTAGAACTTAGCAAGAGGCTCAGCGAGGGGGAGGACAATTTAGTTGTATACAACACCCAAGTACGGGGGCGTCCGTCACTCTTTCTTTGGGCAGGTCCGGTCCGAATGACTGCTCAGCCGACATATTAAGTGAAGGCGCTAGCCAAACTGTATCCACATCTTCCGTCAGCCGGAAATTGAAATTCTTCTACACCAACGTGCAGAGTTTGCTATCAAAGTTCGACGAGCTGAAGATCAACCTCTGCGATCTATCCTCTTCATAGAGGCGGGCTTCTGAAACTGAGGCGCCATTTTTTGTTTTTTCCCTCCAATCACGTGAACACTTATTAATCGCATACCCCAGGCTTATTCCTTTGCTTTAATTGATCTATTCCTATGAGGTCGTCTTTACAGTACGCGAGTCCCTTTTTAAAGGATCTTAAACCCTGCGAAATTTCTGCATCGATTTTTCCGCCTCCTGATCATGACTCTAGTTGTTGCACTTTGTGGCCAATTTGTCGTTTCTGCGATTGTCCTGCGTTGGCGTTATCACGCTTCCAAACGCAACGTACTCACCGTGCCAGCAGCAGTTACACTCTGACAACTTGTCCTGTTTCTCGTCCTTCCTCGTTGGCCTTCCCACGCTCGTATCAGCAAAGGCCAATATTTCTAAAGCAACATCGCTGTGGATGGCAAGTTGCGCTTAAACGCCAGCCTAAAAACAAGTTGTCAATCCCGGGTTTTCTTCCGACTAACTGTCAATCGATATTTAACAAAGCCCATGATTTGGAATTACTTCTGTCAACCAAAGAACATGGCAAAACAGGAGTAATTTGCCTTCAGGAGACGTGGTTGAATAGCCATATTGACTCGGAACTAATCACTCCTTCGTCATTTTGTTGTTTTCGAAATGATAGACCATCTCCAACAGGCAGTAGAGGTGGAGGAGTGGCCATTTTGTCAATCAAGACTGGTGTATAAATTGTAAGCCCCTGTTTTCATATTCTGGTGATTAAATTGATGTCATTGCTGTTATCTGTAAGCCCTATTTGTTAAATAGTTTTAAGGATATCATATTTGTCAGTATTTACATCCCCACTTCCACAAATGAAGGCTCTCTGGGCCGTTTTTTGACTTCCTCACACAAGAACCTGCTTCATTATCCTCAGACCATCTTATTCTTTTGTGCAGTGATTTTAACCGTGTGAGCTTTCGGCCCATTACCCTTCTGGGTTTTGATGACCTTGTTTCATTCAATACACGGGCTGATGCCCCTCTTGATCACATCTTGACCAATTACCCAAAGCTTTTTTGTATTAAAAATAGAGCTCCACTCTCCGGGTCTGATCACTCAGTGCTACTAGGACTTCCAAAAGTCTATTCCACCTCTAAGCGTCAACTGCTTACAAAACCCGAGAGGAAAATTACTGTTCGAGACACATCCGTAGATAAGATCCACTTACTGCAGAGTTCAATTACTAGTACCATCCCAACTTTTCTAGCACTACAAAATTCTGAATTATGCTCTAATTATCTTACGTTATTTTTGAATCACATTTTTGATATTTGTTGTCCCCGTGAAACTGTTATGGTCAGGCTTGACAGAATCTCCTCACCATACCTTAAACACTTGAGACGTCGCAAAGAAGACTTCTACAAACTAGGTCAGCGTGACAAGGTGAAGGATATCAATGTTTTAATAAAGAACGAAATTGCCAGACTTGACGGTTTATTCGTTAGTCAACTTTTTTCTACTTCATCCACCCCCTCCTCTCCTTTTCCTTCTGCTGAACTGTGGAGGAATCTCAAGCGTCTCACTGGTCAACATAATATACTTGAACCCATTGATGTAGATTTAAACTCTTTAAATCGAAATTTTATCTGTACTTCTAACGACTCCCATTCTCGCCAAAACGAAATTTACCTACCACCATGCGACTTTACTCCTGTGACAACAGTGGAACAACATCTCAGAAAGGTTCGCGGGTCAACGGCGGCTGGGCCGGACGGTGTCTCTCCTTTCCTCCTTAAGTCTTGCTGTTCGCAGATAGCTCCCGTCTTGACCCACCTTATTGATCCAAGATTCCTGACGCCTGGCGTACAGTAAGAATTACTCCAATCCCTAAAAAATCTTTAACTTTTGCTCCTAAATCTTTCCGTCCTATTGCCTGCTCTTCCGTACTCCTGAAACTTACTGAACGAGATGCATTAGATTCCCTTAAGTACTCCTCCGTCAATTTTTCTGATCCTCTACAATTTGCATACAAGGCAAAGCGTAGCACCTTGAATGCTGTTGCTCTAGTTGTTCATTCAGCTTTGAGAGACTTAGACAAGGGATGCCGTGCATATGCATGTGCTTTTCTCGACTACTCATCCGCCTTCAACACTATTCCGCGCCAACTCCTCCTGACCAAAGCAGCTGCGTGTGACGCTCCGAACTGGGTTGTCTCTTGGCTTAGAGATTATTTTTCCTTCCACACAGTTTGTCCAGTCGGGAAAAAGAAAATCTTCTATTCTTCCAAATAACTGTGGAGTTTTACAAGGTTCCATCTTATCCCCTCATCTTTTCTCTCTACATACTAATGATTTGAGATCGCCAAACGACTGCCTGTATGGTAAGTATGCCGATGACATGGTCGTAGGCCACCCACTCAAAAACCTGACTCACCTACGGTCTTTAAAGGATGGCTTAGATCACGTCTCCGCATGGTCCTTAATCTGGCGATTCATAGATGGCTGTATTCTTCCACTCATTCTTTATTGTTCTCTAGTTATTTTTCCAGCTTTACTTAAAAAAGATCTTATTATTTTTAAACGTGTCATTCGAATGCTCGCCTCTGCTGCTGGTGTTTCCTATCATATTTTAGTTGATATCATCGTGCAGCGACACTTCAATACGGTGGAGCAATTTGCTGACCGAATTCTGAATGACACCGTCCATCCCCTTCATAATGAGTTAATGGCTGCGAAATCCTTACGCCCTATGCGTCGATGCTTCCGCCACATCCCTTGTCGCACTTCGGTTTATCAGAATTCCATACTGCCATTTCTAGCCTGGTACCTCACCTGCAAAGATGCTGAAAAACAAAAGCTAAAACTCGATCTTGCACCTTAAAGTCCTTTTTTCTTCATATATAATTATGCCCATCCGTCCAATAACTGTTAATCTCTATGGTAATCACTGTGTACTGGAGAACCAATTTTGGTGAAAGTTTTGAATGTTATTTTCAAAATAAGGCATTCCTCTCTCTCTCAAAACAGAAACCTGGTTCACCCAACACGTGGACGACCGCGAGTTGGCCTTGCCTGGCTACCCGATGTTTAGAAGGGATAGGGACGGGCGTCAGGGAGGTGTAATCACGCATGTGAAAAATGGGATAAAGGTACCAGACAAAAACGATAAATTTTCGAGCAGTTCTGAGGCAATCTGGCTGTCTATTAAAGTGCCGAGCTCGCCTAGCCTCGATGTCCTGACAGTTTATCGACCGCCGAGACGGGACAACATGGCCGACGCTCGCCTGCTGGAGGAGCACGAAAAGTTCGCTACGCGACCGGATATCCTGATCAGGGACGACTTTACCGTGCCTGGTATTGACTGGAGCACGACCCATGCAAATAGCTCAGAACAGACCCTCGATGGGAGTGTTCTGAACACGACACTGAAGTTATTTCTCACTCGCCAACTGCCTTGATCTCGTCCTTACGAAGTCACAGGACAGCATTGATGAGGTGTTATGCCTACCCCCCTTAGGTAAAAGTGACCACGTCGTTCTTCTATGGGAGTACTCGCTTTTTTCCATGTTCGAGAGACCTGTGACAGTTAGAAGAAACCTTTGGCGCGGGGATCTCGACCAAACGGGGGCTGAAATTTCACGCATTTAGTGGGAGTCCGTATTTGTTGGAAGCATACTCGAAGATTGGCAACGGTTCCGAGAAATTCTGCACGAGCTGATCGTAAACCACTGTCCGCTTTCACGGAAGAGGTTAACTAACAGACCTCGATGGCTTACACAAGCCTTGAGCAAAAAAACGAAGGCTGTGGAAAAAATCGCTTTCCGACAGGAGGCCCACATATATATGTGCGTACAAAATTCAAAGAAATCGAGTCAAGAGCCTTATCCTCAAAACTAGAAGGGAATTCTAACGGGATCTGCTTAACCGTGCAGCGGAGAACCTTACATTATTTTACGGTTACTTGGCGACTACGACTAACCAGAGAGGCCATCCACTCAAACTACGTGTGACTGGTGCCCAAATAGATACACGAAAGTTTTTCTCCAACAGAGTGGTTGCAGCTTGGAATGCCTTGCCTGAGGATGTTGTTATGTCGGGATCCGTAGATACTTTTAAACGGAGGCTAGATCAACATTGGAGCGACGACAAAGTACGGGCCCATGACAAAACAAAAGGGGGCGTTCACATGGAGGGGTTTATTTGAGGTCCAACGTTTCGAGTAGTTTATTTGTCCGCGGCCGACGGGGGCGATTCAGGTCACGGTGACATGCGGGTTGGATGCAGCCACACAGGCGGCATTGGCGGATCACGCAGTGAACAAAGTGCGCCATGTAAGGGGAGCTGTGCACAGGACTTCCCAGTCTCTGAAGATGGGTAGACGAGAAAACTACTCGAAACGTCGGACCTCAAATAAACTCCTCTCGGTGAACGCCTACTCTTCTTCTGATAAGCCACCTGGGAATCGCATTTTCACTACCATTGACAGGCCCATGAGCTTGACATGCATTCTCTGCAAAGTTATGAAAAGGATCATAAAAAGTGGACTGATGCAATTCCTGGAAGTTCACGGCCTGCTATCGAAATGCCAACATGGGTTCCAGAAAGGAAGATCCTGCACGACAAACATGCTGCAATCTCTCCAGAGCTGGAACCGAGCTCTCGACGACAGACATGCGGTCCACATAGCTTTCATCGACTTCCAGAAAGCGTTCGACACTGTGTCACACCAGAGACTCTTACACAAACTAAAAAAATAGGGATCGGTGGCAACTTCCTTAAATGGATCGAAAACTTCCCTTTGGGTCGACACCAGGTCGTGTGCATCGGTTAAGGGAAATCATATCCTACTGCTCCCAAGGGTTCAGTACTGGGATCCATTTTGTTCCTTATATACGTGGACAATGCCGCAAGAGCTTTGGACTGCGAAGTAGCAATGTCTGCCGATGACGTGAAGATATGGAGTGTAATTCAGGACCCTACCAACGAAGGCAGGTGAACCTAAGTCGGTTGGAGGAGTGGTCAAACCGTTGGCTCCTGTGGTTCAACGGTAACTATGACTCTCTCTAGCGAAGAATCCAATGTCTTGCTGTGTGTTTCTGGGGTCACGGATTTCTCTTCTTCTTTGGATGTTGAGTTGTTCGTCAGCCAAACGCGTGCTAGATCCCACGACGTCGGTGACTCCGTGGATTATTCTACTGAACCCAGCCATCCGGCTGCGTCTGAACAACCCGTCTCTACAGGCGTTCTCGAATCCCGTTTATTGCCCTGCCCAAAGTGTGTTCGTGTCGTTCGTTCTGCAGTTGGTATGAAATTGCATTTTCGAAGCGCCCATCCGGAACTATATGGACTACCGTCTGTGTACGACCCACCCACTACGAACCAATCTACCCAACCTACCGATGATTCCGACGTTATCAACTGCCAGTATTGTGAGAAAACCTTCCCTACCTCACGAGGATGTTCTAGGCACACGAAGAGTGCGCATCCTGACGGAGTACCACCGGAACAGAATCCACTTAGCGCCTGTCCGGTCAGTGTGGACGCCGCAGGAGGACAATTTGTTGTGCAGCCGTGCAGCTGCCCTCCTGGCAGATGGTCAACTGTCCCTGCGTGAGCTTGCACGAAGGCTGCAGGGGGTCCTTCCCACGAGAAGTGCGGAAGCCATCTACAAAAGGCTTAGCAAAATGGAAAAGGATGATCTCCTCTTGAGGAATCCAGTGGCAGCTACATCTAGACCAACTGTCCGTTCCCCTCCCAACTCTACCCCCCCCCTCCTACGGAAGAGAGTGAAACGGTTGATTACCGATCTCAACTTCTGAGAACTGCTGTTACTCAGTTAACTGATTCACCTTGTCAGGCCCTCGCGTCAGACGACCTTGTGTCTCTAGCAGTAGACCTGCTCATGGGAGAGATTGATACCGCTCACGCGCACAGACGTATGGATGCGCATGCCAAAAACGTTTTCCCACGACGTTGGCGTCCAGGAGTGAACCGCCGGCCAAAGACTGATAAGCCACGTAACAAACGAGAACTCCGGAAAGCTCAGTATGCAGAGGTGCAGGCCCGCCTGGCAAAGCGCCCTAAACTGGCTGCACAGTTCGTCCTATCGGGCGACTGGTGATCGGCGTCAGGTGCTGAGCCGCCTAGGCCAGCTGGGACACTGGAAAGCAATTTCTGAGACACACAGTGGTCAGGACCAACGCCCCGTACCACCTGTAGTGAAGCATTGGAGTTTGTTGAACCCTGTTTTGAGTACCGATGTCACCCGCGAGATTCGGAAAATGCGCGGATCGGCTGCAGGGATCGATGGCTTGGACGTCAGTGTTACTGCGGCTTGGCCGCCGGCTGCCATTGCGGCGTACTTGAATGTCATCCTAGCGATTGGCCAACTTCCGGGTCAGCATTGCATCAGTCGTACCACTCTAATTCCGAAGGTGCCTACTCCCCAATCTCCTTCCCAGTACCGACCTATTGCGGTAGCTAATGTGCTCCCACGCATGTTAAACCGCGTTCTAGCACTAAGGTGGTCGCGCTGCTGTCCGTCAGCTCGGTTCCAGTTTGGATTTCAGGAACGGGACGGCACAGCCGAAGCGACAGGTACGCAGTCACAACTCCCAAATCGGTTGCGGTGGCGGTACTTGATGTGTCCAAAGCGTTTGACTCTGTTAACCATGAGACTATCTTGAGAGCGGCCGCTGCTGGTGGCGCACCACCTCCTCTTCTCTCCTTTCTGGACTCCACCTATTCACGCCTAACGACCCACCTATCTGATACTGAGGTAAAATGCCTTCGAGGTGTTCGCCAAGGTGACCCCCTCTCCCCGCTTCTCTTCTCTCTAGCGCTACCTGAAGCGTTAGCCTACTCAGATCGGCAGCTTGGAATGGACATTGCAAACAGTCCGTCTTCACCCGAGAACCTAGTGCTATATTTGCCCATCCATCCATTCGCCAAACAACCTCTCCTCCCAATACCTTTCCCCATCCTATCCCCTCCCTACCCTCCTTAACCGAGGAACCACTCTTTTCATCTACCATTGTTAGGGCCGAGCTACTCCGGCTGAAACCTGCCAAATCGCCTGGCCCAGATAGAATTCCCGCCCTAGCACTTCGCGAACTTGCTAATGAACTGTGTAAACCCTTATCCACGATATTTCAAAGGTCATTTGAAGACGGCGAGCTACCGGAAGAATGGAAATGCGCACTCATTACTCCGATCCATAAAGGAGGCTCAAGACTTGACTGCGGAAATTATCGTCCCGTCAGTCTTACTTGCATAGCGTGTAAAATAATGGAACGCATTATCAAAAGACACTTGATGAAATACCTGGAACAGAACAAAATATTGTGCGATGCCCAACACGGCTTTCGCCCAGGGCGCTCCTGCTTAACGAGTGTTCTTTACTCACACGAGAAATGGACACGAGCTACCGATAAGGGTTTTCCAGTAGATGTCATATTTTTTGACTTCAAGAAGGCCTTTGACAGTGTCCCACACAGGCTTCTTTTGCAAAAGATCTGGGATGTAGGGATTCAAGGGAGAATGTTTAAATGGATCAGGAGTTTTCTGTCCTCCAGACTACAAAGAGTCGTCGTTAGTAATTCTACCTCGGAATGGGTAAAGGTGGAAAGTGGTGTCCCACAGGGTTCTGTCTTAGGCCCAGTACTCTTCCTGATTTATGTTAATGACTGCATCAGCGAAGTGAATTGCGAGGCTCTCCTGTTCGCGGATGACATAAAAATATGGAGTGAAGTCAAGTGTGATGATGACGCAGAGAAGTTGCAGTCGAACATCAACAAACTGTGTGCTTGGTCGAACAGATGGCTTTTGAAGTTTAACGTGTCCAAATGCGTGGTTTTGCACCTGAACACGGGCCGCAATGCCTCTCCCAAACACCAGTACTATATTGACGGGACGAGGTTAGAAACTGTGGAAAGACACAGAGATCTGGGTGTATGGACGACCACAAATCTATCGCCATCAGAACACAGTAGAAAGATGGTCCAGAAGGCAACTAGTACTCTACACTGGATCAGACGTGCATTTAAAATATTTCCTCCCGAACTTTTCGAAAGACTCTTTGGTGTCTTTGTAAGACCTCATCTAGAGTATGGAATGCCAGCAGCTTCACCACGGATGAGGAAGGATATCAACTTACTCGAACAGGTGCAACGCAGAGCGACAAAGATGGTCGACGGTCTAAAGCATTTGTCTTATCAGGAGAGGCTAAATTTGCTTGGCCTATTCCCTCTCTCTTATAGACAAATAAACTGCAGTCTACTCTGGACGGTCCGGATTGTTCGCGGCCAGGGTTGCTCATTAAGAGCAGAGGACTTCTTTGAGTTCGCCCGTACAAACCAACTACGCGGCCATGCATTCAAAGTCGGGAATGAGCGCACACGTTTAGACCGACGAAAATTTTCATTCAGCCAGAGGGTTGTCAGGCCGTGGAACTCGCTTCCAAGCGAGATGGTGACGGCTGACACAGTTTGTGTGTTTAAAAGAAAACTTGCTCGTCTAGTTTTCGACAGAAATCGGCTTGTACATCATGACTATGCACAGCCAGTTTTGTAAAATCTGTCATATACAATCTTCCGCCCTAATGTACAGTGACCCCATGCACTACCTTATGATTACGATTGAACTGTGACCCAATCACATTTTAAATGCCTGCAATTTAATTTTGTTTTTGAGTATGAATCTGCGAAAGCACTGTACATAAATAGGGTCATCAAGGGCTCTGCCTGTAACCCTTCAATATACATACATACATAAAAAAACACCATAGCGTACGCCGACGACCTCGTCATATTTGCTGAATCGCCTTTCCGGCTACAAGAGCGTCTCGATGGTCTGGCTGCTGGTCTGTCCCACGCAGGGATGGTCCTAAATCCGGCCAAGTGTCTGGCATTTTATGTACAGGCGCTTGGAAAAGCGAAGAGTTCGTGTCTCAGCCCGTGCACTGTAGGCATTGGGGGAGAACCGCTCCGGGTATTAGGCCCAACGGAGTCCTTCACTTACCTGGGGGTTCCGTTTACCTACCGCGGTAAACAGCCAATCCGGCACCGTCCGTTACTACATGAGATGCTCACGGAGATTTCCCAGGCCCCGTTGAAACCTCACCAGAGGATAACACTCCTGAAACGTCATTGTGTGCCTAAACTCATGCATGATCTGGTGCTGGGCGCCGTATACCGGCAGACACTAAAGCGCCTCGATGTACAGATCCGACAGGCAGTACGAACCTGGTTACGCCTTCCCGCAGATACGCCGACGGCTTTCTTCTACGCGCGTCTAACGGACGGTGGAATCGGACTACCCTGCCTGTTTACCAGTATTCCGCTTATGAAGAGAAAACGTCTGGATGCACAGCTGTCATCCGCGGAGGTTGCAGTCAGAGTGGTCTCGGCATTACCTGTGGCCGCGGCAACTCTTCATCAGACTGTTATCAACTCGAAGACCGATGCGCAGCAAATGTGTAAGGAACAGCTACACCGCTCAGTGGACGGCCGTCCACTTGCCCATATCGGGACCTCTGCCTGTGTTCACCACTGGCTATCCTCTCCTGACCGATTGTTCCCCTGGCTCTACTTGCGGGGCATTCAGCTTCGTGCTGGTGTCCTGTCAAGGAAAGCCCGCAGGAGTAGGAGAAAAAGGCTCTCTGATACCCTCTGTCATGGGCACTGTGGCCAAGTTGAAACCCTCCCCCATACTCTACAGAGCTGCCAAGTGACAAAGGATGCGCGGATCTGGCGTCACAATAACATCATGAAAACAGCCGCCGCGAAGATGAGGAGAAATAAATCCGATGTGCTTCTGGAGCCTCACGTCCCTGAAGGGTCCTCCTACTGCAAGCCCGATATTGTGGTTTGTGAGAAGGGGGCCATCCACGTCATCGATGTTGCGGTTGCCGGTGAGGGCTACATGGACCGGGTGTACACGGGAAAAGTAAATCGTTACTCTACCGCTGAAATCGCCAACAATCTTCGGAAAGCCGAGCGATTACCCGGTCCTGCACAAGCCGGCGATATTCTCATCACGAGGCGGAATTCTCAGGAGTTCGGAAAGGCACCTGAAAACTGTCGGATTAACGGACTATGATATATCTGATCTGTGCGTCTGTGCTATACGGGGATCCCTAAAGGCATATGATGTATACACACGTGGGGCCGGTGGCCGCCGAAGACAACCACCAACGGCGATGCGGCAATAGCGGCAGTGCAGACTCTAACTTGACATGTGACTGAAATCTGTGTATGTGCAGATATAATGAACTCTGATCTCATAACCTGTACAAGTGCATTTCATTAACGTGCCATTTGTGAGTACTGCCAGTTGTTTCGGCAATTGGCATAATAAATATTTTCTAGCATACTTCAATAGTAGTGAAAATGTGATTCCCAGGTGGCATACCAAAAGAAAGGGAGGAGTTCACCGGCTGACGTTGCGAGTAGACGTTTCTTCTACCCATCTTTAGAGACTGAGAAGTCATGCACACAGCTTTCCTGATATGGCGCACTATGTTTGATGCCTGGCTCGCCAATACCGCCTGTGTGGCTGCATCCGACCCGCATGTCACCGTGACCTGAATCACGGACATTCCTGACCGGCAACAGTCACGGCGCGGGACAATAGGGGCCGTCAATTATCGCCGCAGACGACGACGATGGGTGGGATTCAGGTCACGGTGACATGCGAGTCGGATGCAGCCACACAGGCGGTATTGGCGGGCCAGGCATCAAGCAAAGTTAGCCATATAAGGAAAGCTGTGCGCATGACTCCTCAGTCTCTGAAGATGGGTAGAAGAAACGTCAGACCTCCAATACACGTCTCCCGGTGAACGCCCCCTTTTCTTTCTCCGATGTTGATCTAGCCTCCGTTTAAAAGTGTCTACGGATCCCGACATAACGTCATCAGGCAAAACATTCCAAGCTGCCCTTATGATCGGCCATAATGCTTCCGTACTACAAGTCAATTTGGCAGTTTTTTCTGAAACGTACAAGCCATTCTTAACAAATGTTACTATGCCTGCACAGATTGACCACCAAAGATAGCCGGTATGGTAAAAGGATGTGAGTGGGAGGCAGTGTCTAAATAGACAGGGACAACGAACATGAACCTACTTGGAAGTTTGTGTCCACAGCGTTTGGCTTGCTGGCCGAAAGCCGTAAAGAATGTGCTCCCTGGGTCGTAGCCAGGAAAGCGTACCGGTAGGGAGGATGGCTTGCGGGGAGGCGGAGGCGTTGGCCGTAGAGGTTTGCAGTCATAAGGTGGTGTACCTTTACCGCCAGAATGATGTATTTCGTAAAGTCGGCACTGTCGAATGGCCGATGATAAGTTAGTGGGAGGGTACAAAAGGAGAATGTCTGTCACCTTGTGGTCGTGCAGACCAGTGATGATCTGCTGTCTTTCTGAAATTCGACTCCCTGACTCAGGCTCCCGTGAAATAAAGATCCCGGGAGTCGAATCACACTTCACCCTGTACCACAGAGGCCTGCGCGACACTTCTGGTCGACACGGTGTGGCGATTCCCCAATCGCAACAAGCGGACTTCGCGCTACTTGCTTGGGAACCAGTCAATGACCTACGTGTGATTGAAGGGTCACTTCACGAACATCTCAATCGTCTCTGTGTATGCACCAACTTCGACTGCCAAACAGCGCGATAAAGAGGCGTTTTACTCTCAGTTGCAAGCGCTAGTTGAAAGACTGCCTCGCTGCGATCTGCTGATTGTTGCTGGCGATTGGAATGGTCGAACTGGACCTGGCGACCACACAACCAGTCATCTTCTTGGCCGCATTGGGCTTGGCTCCCGATGTGAAAATGGTGAGAGATAGCTGAACTTCGCTGATCGAAACCCACTGCTCGTCACAAAACATGTTTCCAGCACCGCAAAAAACATCTGCCGACCTGGTATTCAAACTACGGCCATACGGACAGTCAGATTGATTACATACTAGTCAGCTCAAAGTCCCGCAGCTGGGTTCACGATAGCAGATCGATGCGTGGTGCCGAGACTGGTAAAGCTCATGGGTCGGAACATGTTTTCGCCCGTACGCGCTTGGAAGTTAATCTCTCACCTGCGCCGAAAATGCCACGTCCTAGACGCCTCAATGTCGCAAAAATCCGACACGTCAGCACTGCCGAGGCCCTAAGCAGAGAAATCTGAACCTGTTTTACGACCCGAGCCGACGGAGAAGTCAGTAACCAGTTGTCCTCACTGAAGACTTCAGTCTATGGGGCAGCTGAGAAAATTCTTGGATACACCCAGCGCGACGCCGCAGTGACTCGATCAGCGGAAGAACCCTGCAGTTGTCTGCTCAGACGGCTACAGCCAGGTTCCGCAACGATGACTGCTTCAGACAACTTCGGAAGACACGACGAAATCGGCCAGGGATGACCAGAAGCACTGCTGCGCTGAAATAGCGACCTCCATGGAACAGGCCTCGAACGTTGGTGACACTCAAAAGCCCTACCGTCTGATCCGCCAAGTTAGCGGTAAGCCCTCTACACTGAGTGACTCTGTTTGCGATGTGAACGGCGGCTTTATTGCTGACAACTCGGCCAAAGTCGAGCGCTGGCGTGAGCACTTTGAGCACCATCTCAACTTCGATACATAACCTACCTCGCCCTTGCTCTCCTCCGCAGCGGAGTTTCTTCCCTCTCCTACCTATGCAGTGCCATGTGAACCCCCCCCCCTCCAAAGGAAAAGTCGCCGATGCCATACGAAAGTTGCGCAACACTAAGGTACCCGGAGAAGATGGTATACCCGCTGAAATCCTCAAATCTTGTGTCGACACTCTGGCGCCCTGGCTCCATGCGGTGATTGAACGAGCGTGGAGAGAAGAGGTTGTTCCTGATGACTGGGGCTTAGGCATCTTTGTAACTACCCTCAAAAAGGAAGATAAGACGAGATGCGAGAACTACCACGACATATGTCTCATCGACGTTGCTGCGAAGATCTTCGCTATTGTCCTATTCAGGCCATTCCAGGCTGTGCGTGACTCAAGGACGAGGCCCAACTAGGCCGGATTTCGAGTTGGACGTGGATGCGCAGGCCAGATATCTACACTGAGGCGCATTCTCGAATTTCGCCAGAGCTACCTGTAGGAAGTTCTAGAAGGTCCGACCACGTGCGTCCGCCATCTTGGAGAAGGTTCTAGAAAGCGCGCCTCTAAAGGGGCGCGCCCGCCGAACTTTTCCATATTTATACGCCAGGCACTTAGTCGCAATTTGGCCTCTCACGAAAAGTATGCATATAATAAATTATTATAACGCTGAAATTAAGCAAGATAGCCCTGGCATAAGTTTGCTTAACTTTCTACCCTCGACCTACCCTCAACCAATCAACAATGGCGGACCCAACCTTGTCGACCCCTCTCTCTGGAAAAGCTATAAATACGGGCGAGGATTAGCCCCCAACAACCCCCGTGGCCGGTCGCCGAAAGGCGAGGAATCCGTGCCGCTTTCTCCGCTGGATCCTAGTGTTCCAAGTCGCCCTGTGGACAATCCTGCCAGATTCAGCTTATTTTTGTAATTAGGACTCTTCCCTTAGTTTCTTTTTGTACATAGGTCGGCCAGTAAAATAGTGACTAGTCAGACTTATCCTGTTGGGCCTCGTTGACTACTACTCGCGTTATACAGGATCATTACAACAACGGGGACGCTACAATTTGGTGGCAGCGGTGACGACTATGTCGGACAACCTTGTTGGCAAATAAGTCAAGGAGCTACAGAAATTGGGTCTGCATCAGCCGTCTGCGCCCTTGCCAG